AGAAGGGTTTCTTCACGACATGCTGCACGTGGTTTTTGCTATTATCAACGAGAGGATTCCAGCCCCTGCTTGGACCGGTCATGCCAGTTTCGTGCGAGAAGATAGCCCCGATCGTGTAGAAAGAGAAATGGTGCTGAATCAAGCTGGTTATGAACCTACTCGACGTCACGTCGAGCAGGGACGTCGAGCAGGCTCCTCGAGTTTCAAGAAATGACGATGCTGAACATTTGGCCAGAAGGAGAAGAGAGATAAGCCGCGGGAAGAGGGTTGTGGAAGCGGATTTTGAACCCACACCAGAAGAAGAGACTGTTGAAATGGAGGAAGAAGAAGCTGTAGAAATGGAGGAAGAGATCAAACCTGCTAAGCCAGCCAAAAGGAATAGAAAGAAGAGGAAGCCTCCTACTCCTGAGGAGTACTATAGCTATCTCAAAACACTGGAGTTCGAAGGCACAAGACATCCTCATCGGGAAACAATGGCTGCTTTGGGAATTGCTGAAGATGTGGACTACCTTGCTGAGACGTGCGGTTTAAAAACCTTCCTGGGGTATAGTTTCGAGGGATATCAAGAGGAGACCTGCCAGCTCCTAGCTACTCTCGACGTACACTTCTACGCGGATGAACAAGAAGAAGAGAATGAGAGAGGTTTTGGATACATCACGTTCTCTGTCAAGGGAAGAGACCACTCACTAACGATCAGGGAGCTCAATCTCTTGTATGGATTCCCGAGCAAGGAGGGATTGGTGCAAAATTTCGATAAGCGCGAACTCCAAGCCTTCTGGAAGACGATCGCCGGACCAGGAGATTACATACCTTCTAAAAGCAAGAGTTCCTCTATTAGAAGCCCAGTGGTGAGGTATCTACACCAGTCCATTGCTAGCATGTTCTTTGCAAAGAAGATCACCGGTACCATGAGTGAAGGTGAACTGCAGCTTCTGGACTTAGCTCTCCTATTCACCTTAAGAAACACTAGTGATGGAGCAGAAATGGTGGGAGATAGAGGAAATGCCCCTCTAATAGCCAGTGTTCTTGGATCATTTATTGGGATACAAGGAGTATGCTGCAACAATGCATAGGTCAGGGCGCAAAGGAAGCTTGACCATTGGCGGAATTCTGACACCAATTCTGGTAGCTGCGAATATAGACGTGGGAACAGGAGACGCTTCCCCAAATTGGATCGATATGGCGTACCTAAGAAAGAAGGGCTACCTTGATAAAACAGCTCCTGAAGGTGTGTTGCTCTATGTATTCAACCACCCTGAAGAAGGAACTTCTAGGCTGCTTCTACCATGCACGAATCACACCACGATTAGGGCTGGTGAGAACATCGACTTCTGCCCACCATCCTTCATTCTCTACGATTCACAAGTCGCCCCTGCCTCTCCACCGCCTCAAGCAATGCACGAGGACGACCAGGAGCAAACCCAAGACGCTCCTGATGATTATGCACCAGAGCGGTTCTTCTTCGAGGAATACAAAGCTCCTAGGCAGACCAAAAGCGAGAGAGAAGCTCACAAGCGCATAGGACTCCTGCAAGGATTGGGAAAGTTTCAAGGGAAGGCGATGCGAGGATTGTCAAAGAAGGTAGACTCATTGACCACCATGGTGAAGAAGATGGCGCTTCAGATCACAGACCTCCAGAAGAAGTCCAAGCATTCCCCATCATCATCAGAAGAGAGAGGTACTTTGAGAAGAAGCGGTTCCTCAAGCATGGCTCCAAGACACGCGGTAAAGGCTGATCCTCCTAGATATTCATCCTTTGAACCGCGCCAGAGGGAAAGCCAAGAGGAGTCTGCACCACTCCCCAAACGTTCGCAAAGGCATCGCAGCAAGCGGAAGGTTCAGCGGCCAAGTCCAGAGGCAGACTCGACCATGGAGCTCGATGACACGTCGAGTCTGCACGTCGAGCAGCCTGCTCCAGAGCCAAGTAATCCTCCCTACATGCAGGACAACGTCGACGTCGAGCAGCCTCTTCCAGAGTCAAGCACAGCTCCTTCTTACACGCATGAGAGCATGGATGAGTTCCTCGACACCTACTTCGGATAAAACCAAAGTATCACTCATCCCCCTAAACCATTGTACTATTTCATTGCATTAGTTTGCTTTTCTGTTTCGTTGTTTGTTTCTCTTGAGCTCTCTTCTGAATTTTTATTACACAAGGGACTGTGTAATTTAAGTTTGGGGGAGGGTCCAAGAAGTATTTGATGTTGTGTTCTGTTTTCTTATTGCATAATCATCTAAGGCATAGAAAAACCAAAAAAATTTGAAAAATTTCGAAAATTGTAATACAAAAGAAGAGTGTTCATGTAGTTCGCATTGCCATTTTAAGACTGTTTTAGTATGCTTTCATTTAGGACTGTTGCATCATGCATTTGCATTGGAGATTATGATGATTATAACCTTGTAAATATGCTTATTCACTAAGTAGAACTCAGTGCCCAGGTTGTTAGTTCTCTAATGCATAATCGACTGAACTTGAAGTAAGACCGCACCATCTTTTGAATTCAACGCTTGACTTTCTTGTTTTTAGTCGAATCTCGCTTTGATCTGATGCCATTCCCTATCTATTTGAACTTGAATTTTGACTTATAATTATCATGCTGTGCATTATGCTATGAACTCATGGATACCTTAAAATACTTGGACTTTCTTTTACCTTTTGATCACTCTTGCTAGTCCAAGTAGCTGACTCCCATCTTTGGAGCAGTTATTCCCCACCCTTAGCCTAAACCTTCTTTCAAGCCATTTATCATTTGTGTGTGAATGTGAGGCCTTATTCCGATTGAGATTGGTAGAAAGTGTTAGGTCTGTAACGACAAGGATAGTATCTCATGTAGTTCTGGTTCACGCTATCTGGACCAGATAGGACTAGGTGGGTGCTTAATTCTGGGTTTGGGTTGTGTTTAAAAGAAAGAAAAGGTTGTGCTCATCATTGAGAGAAAAGAAAAAGGGAAATGAGTCCTTAGGAGAAGTAGCTAAAGTAAGAAAAGTCTAGTAAAGGATTTGGGTGTGCTAAAGTAAAGAAAAGGGGTTCTGTAAATAGCTTAAAGAGAATGGACAAAAGCCTTGTGTTTATGAGAAGAAAGAAAAGGGAACCCTAGTTGTTAAAGAATCCTAATCCGCTAGACAGAGCAAAGTAAGAAAGCTTCTCCTAGGATATAAAAGCAAAGAAAAGAAAGGAATGATGTGAGTAAAAGTCTGTAAATGCTTTGAGTGCAAAAGGGTAGAGTTAGGTTCATGTTCTGGGATTAGAAATAGGACCTCCATTTGAGTTGATATTGATTACATTCTGGGTAGATGGGGTCTTATCCTTGTATGCATAACTTGATACTCACCTTTAGCATTCTACTAAAGCTCAATCATTCTTGAGAGATCCCCTGTTGCGATTTAAACCAGATCTTTAAGGGACCATCTTTGTCTCTAAGCCTCTACCCTTAAGCCAAATGTGTTCATATCCAATGCATAGTATGATTCACGGTTCCTACTTAATCAATGTTAAAGGGAATGTGCTGATTTGAATGCTTGAATTGATTAAGGCAGAGGTTAGGTTGAGATGTGAAGGAGATGGCTAATGTTTTTAAGTAGAGATCAGTCAACCTTGCATTCTAGAATTAGCAACCTGGACATTGAATTCACTTACTCTATATGCATGTTTTGGTTCTGAGTCTCCACCTTCAAACCTCTTCTCTAGCTTAGTTCTATTTGTTTGCTTGAGGGCAAGCAAGAGCTAAGTTTGGGGGAGTTGATATCTCTGTATTTTACCACTTTTAAGCACACTTTTCTCATGCATTTAGCTAAGTTTCATCTCTCTTTCATTGCATCCAGAGTCCTTTTCATATCATTTTCATCACTTAGTACGATTTGCATTGCATGGCATAGCATGTTGCATATTGGATGAGTTTCAGGTGCTTTGGAGTTTATTTTGGGACTTAATGGAGCAAGGAGGAGCCACACAACCTTGGAGCTAGACTTAGGATCGAGTTGGAGAGGAATGAAGTCGTTCAAGATCACCCAGGACCAGACTCGCCGTCATGGCTCGATGACACGTCGAGTAGGACGCCAGGAAGCCGACTAGGAGCAGACTCGACCACGCGGACTCGATGACACGTCGAGTTGGACGTCAAGGCGCCAGCTTTGAAGATCACATGGACTCGACGTGGCAGGCTCGACGTCACGTCGAGTTGGTCTCCGCCGACTCTCTATTTTGTCCTGTAGCTAATTAGGGCAACCTAGTATTTCCTATAAATAGGGGCTCACCCTATTATCCAGCGGATATTCCTTTTACCCAGCAGATATTCCACTGTTCTCTCAAAAACCCTAGATTTTGTAATCGTTTTTCCTGTTGATCCTTTGAGTTTTTGAATTTCGTTTCTTCATCAAAGTTGTAAATCTCCTTCTAATCTATAACATACTTGCTTTTTAATGATTTCTGGGTTTATGCAACTTTCTGGGTTTTTATGCATGATGTTCTTCAGTGTTCTTGAGTAGTGGATTAGGGTTCTTGAGGATGGGTTAGATTAGGTGTGGAATCCTTAGTCTATTTAGGTGGTTAAGTGTAGAATTGCTTGATTTCCCTTCTGGTTTAGTAGATCTTAATGCTATTTCTTCTCTGATCAATTGGAAATTGATTTCAGACATTTCCATGCCCACAAGGTGTTTGATGAAATGTCTGAACAAACTTTTTTAGAGATTTGCATACTCTAGCCCAAGAGATTGGATGTTTAGAATGCTTATTGACTTTATTAGATTGAATCATAATGCCTGCTAGGTTATATTTCTTCAATGAGAATTGAGTATGAAAGTGATTTAGCTTGAGAATCTCTGTCACGAGAGTGGATTGATTTGTATTCGAATCTATTGTCTAGGGATAGCTTGATTGAGTTTGTTAACCACCTAGGTAGACTAAGGAGACTGCTATAATCGATTATCCCATTCCTCAGGACCCTTTTATCTCTATTGATTGTTTAAATCTTGTTTCTGTTAACTTTTGTGTTCTACTCGACCTATTAGGCCTAGAGCGTTTCTCTGCATTGTTAGGTTGTTAGTTTCTTTTCAAAAGCTTATGCATGATAGTTTCTGGTCTTCAGTTTACTTCTTGCTCTTGTTTACTTGCTGTTTAGTTCTCTTTCTTATGCTTTCGAATTTGGTACTTGCATGTTAATTGGAAGCTTAGGTTGAATAGAAACACACAAAACCCTTTCACAATTGGCTTGACTTATTTGCTTTCTGTTTCATATCTTGAATGCTTGCAGTCACACTGAGATTGGATTGATAAACCTAATATACTACAATGGCATGTGTATTAGGGATTGATACTTGTTAGAGTAAAATCTTACTATCACAGAGGACGTGCTCGGGTACCCACAGAGGACGTGCTCGGGTACCCGGAAAAGCGGGCTCGGGTATCCGGAGAAGAATGGGCTCGGGTACCCCGAGCTGTCTGGCAGGGTACCCGAGCTGTCTGGCAGGGTACCCGAGCTGTTTGGCATGGTACCCCGAGCTGTCTGACAGGTTACCCGAGCTATCTGACAGGGTACCGAGCTGTTTGGCATGGTACCCCGAGCTGTCTGACAGGGTACCCGAGCTGTCTGAAAGGGTACCCCGAGCAGGTTAATTCGGGATGTTGAAGTTAGGCTCGGTCTCAGAAGATGGATGAAATCCGACCCCAACAGTTAGCCCCCCAGCTCGTTGACTTGAGAAGTGTGACGAGCTTCACGATTGTGGGGCAGAGCCGTTCGTTTTAATTCCGAGCCGTCCATTTATGCCAAGGCGATTTATGCTTCAATGTCGGTTAGTACTCTTTTGGCGATTCGACTTCTTTTGTCAGTTCGAATTCTCTGAGATGATGCGAATTCTTTCGACGCTTCATCTTCTCTTTGCGTGTGACGGTTGAGTTTCTTTCTCGAGAAGTGGAAAGGTTTTCGCGGATTCCCGAGATTTTTGGCGGACGTGAGGCATTTTATTCGGCGTTCGCGTACCCGACGCGCCCCGAACTTCTATAAATACTGCGTTCCCAACTCATTTTCTCATTTCGCAGTCTGCAAAGGAAATCTCTTAAGGTTCGATTCTCTTCTCTCTGATCTTGATTTCTTCATATTTCTTTTACTTCGTCTTGTTTCCGTTGTGACGCCGCCGTAGTTAGATCTAGGTTGATTTCTCCGATCTGCCAAGTTCTGTTTTTCCGACTGTTTCTTCGATTCACCCGAGCCAGAAAATGTCGCTTTCAGACTCGAGCGATTCGTCCCGAGGCAGGAGTATTCCGGTTTATAAACGAAAGATGGTTTGGAGCAGTTCAGATGGGTCCGAGGCTAGTTTGTCAGATCGATCCGAGCCGAGCAGTGACGCAGAATCGTCATCCGAAAACCGAGGGGATCCGAGCCGATTCGTGGCTCAGGACAAAGATCTTCCTGATGACCCCGAGGCGGTTTTGAACAGGAGGAGGATGCGTCCTCCAGCCGCGGATGAAGCTGGGGTGTCTCGTTGGTAGGACGCGCCCGAGCTGCCAGTTTTGCCCGAGGTGAAGGGCGAGATGGTTTCTTACGATCCCGAGGAGGGAGCTAGGTTGTTTCAGCAAGTGATTCAGAATGCCTTGGCTCAGAAGAAGAAAAAATCTCGAGCCAAGAAAACGAAAAAGCCCGATCCTCCTGGTTCTACTCTTTCGACTTCGGATTCGCTTCGGGATTTGAAGGCGTGGTTCAACTTCAGCGAGGGGGTCACTCTGCGATTGCTGACCCCGAGCGAGAGGGCTGACGATCCTCCCGAGGGGTTCTTCACTTTATACGAGGGGTTCTTCTATTTCTGTTTCCTTTGGTTTCCGATCCCAAGGCCAATCATCGAATATCTATGGTCGTATAAACTTGCTCTGGCCCAGATCACGACCCGAGGCCTAAGACATTTGATTGGGATTTTGATACGTGGGATCGAAACGTATAACAACATCGGCCTTGATCATCTGAGGAATCTACTGGAGATTCGACGGGTTCCGGGCTGTGCAATGGAGAGATATTATATTTCTCCTCGCACGAGGCGAAGAATTATCGGTGGCTTCCCGAGCAAGGACGAGAAGTATACCGATCACT